AACCGCCCAGCAACGGCCGCGCACTCGCGCGCCCGGCCGCCTCCCGCCCGCCCATTACCACGTGACGGCCGACCCCTCCCCCTACCGCCGGCCGCGCGGCGTCGCTCTCCGGGTATTTGAACCGCGCTTCCGCCATCTTCCCAGCGCCCAGTCACTGAGGGGAGCGACGCGGAGAGAAGCCTCGGGAAAGGTAACGGGGTCGGGACGTCCTCCTCTTCCTTCTCAGAGCCGGCGGGAGGAAGCGTGGCCGCTTTAAAAAGCGTGAGCGGCGGGGATGGTGGTGACCGTTAGCTGCCGCCTGGGAGCGGGGGTAGGGGATGGGTTGGGTTGCAGCAAGGCGAGGTTGGGCCTGAGGGAGCGTTGCAGCTGCGATACCTGGCTTGCGTGGCGGCCCTTCTTCCCCCCCGCCTCGCGGATGGGAGAGGTGGACGGGTAGGAGCTGTGCTTGGCTTCCTTGCAGAGAAAAGGGCGGGCGAGATCGAGGAGGGGAAATGGAGCGGGGCCTCCAACGGCCCGAGTCTGAGTCTGGGGGGGGAGGGGAGGCGGCGCGCGTTGCTCAGTCATGGTGGCTCCCAGCGGGGAGGGCGCGTTAGGCCCGTTGGTGGGAGGCTGAGGCCCGGCCGGGGGAAGGCTCCGCTCGGGAGCCCCGGGGGACTGGCTCTGGGCTCTCCAGGTGGGAAGGTAAATTCTCCCGAGGTATGGGATGTCGATTCTGGGCGTGCTGGGGAGGGCTTTCTGGGGAGCGAGGCGGGGGCCAGCTTTCGGTCAGGCGTCCTTCGGCGGCCACGGCTCAGCCTGTCCTTTTTCGAGCCCGAAAGCCAAAGGGGTGCGGCGGTAGCTGCCTAACGTTACGGGGCTCACGCGCCTTGGGAGGCGATTTGGGAACTGAAAAGGGCGCCCGGCCCCTTCCGGCTGGGCCTTGAGTCAGCTCGCCTGTTGTGAGCTCACATGCTTCCATTTCCCCTGCAGACCCAGCATGGCCGCCCAAGGAGAGCCCCAAGTGCAGTTTAAGGTAAGGGAGTGGTTTGTTTGGGTTTTTTTGTGTTTGGTTTGCCATCTTTTTTCTTTTTGCCCTTCAGTAGAAAAAGTAACGAGCGACTCTCGAGTGCCAACGTGGATGGCAGGTTTGGGTTCGAAGTGCTGGTGTTTCCTTAAGGGTGCAGTTAGCTTATTGTAGTACTGCATATAACTTAGACAGAAAGGTTCTGTTGCACTGTATCAATCTGATGTTGTTTGTAGTTTATTGTAAGAAATTTTAGTGATGCTTTGCCCATATAATGATTTGTAAATTTTGGAGGTGAACTTGACAGTAACAAGCAAAAAGTGCTTAGAGTGAATTAGAGTAGTAACTGTTTAGGGAAAAAAACCTTAATATTTCAGAATATTCTGGTGGTTTTTGGGGGGTGGGTTTGTTATCTTAACAGCCAGAAGTCCTTAAGACTGCTTCATGGAAGACTGTTACTTGTGTTTCTTACAATACTTGGCTAGAGTATTCCAGTGCTTAGTAGTGTGGTTGGTTGAGGTTTTTTTCTTTGTTTGGTTTTTAATTGTAAGATTACAGCGGGTTTCTCCAGTTCAGGTGCTTAAATGAGTTCCTCTCTAAATATGGTCACGTTCCGGTTGAAAACCCCCAATAGTCTTAATTCAGTCACTTGTAGTTTTGTAGAACCGTATCCACAGTGCATTGTAGTTTTCAGCTGTAGGAACTAGGTAAGTCTGACTCGAGGTATAGCATGATAGGCTTAACAGGTTGGGTTCTAATACAGTGAGTTGCTTCATGGGGAATTCAGTCTTCTGTTTACACCATCTTGTAGGACCTTTGTAGTAATAATTAGTATTTACACTAGAATAAACGAGATATTTCTTTAGAAGTGTATTGCTCTGACTCTTTTGCCTTTTTCTATCAACAGCTTGTCCTGGTTGGTGATGGTGGCACTGGTAAAACAACATTTGTAAAACGTCATTTGACCGGTGAATTTGAAAAGAAGTATGTAGGTATGTCTGAAGAAACATTTGAGATCTAATGGTTACAATTAGAAGTGCAATTCATGAGTTGCTAAGTGCACTGCTTTTTCTTATTACTGTAGCAACGCTGGGTGTTGAAGTTCATCCTCTGGTGTTCCATACTAACAGAGGCCCTATTAAATTTAACGTATGGGACACAGCTGGGCAAGAGAAATTTGGTGGCCTGCGAGATGGCTATTACATCCAAGGTAAGATGTGTGTATATGTGGGAATATTCTGTACCTCTTACAGTTCAGTTTTTGACTCTATTCATGTTGGCTGCTCTGAAAGCCATCAGTGTGGCTTGTAGTGATGAGCTGGGGTCTGGGTCTTCAAACTCTTCATGTAAATATGATAATTTCCTTTGCTAGGCAACTTACACTGATGCAGGAATATTCTGAGATTGTGTTTCAGTATGCAATTGCAGGCTTTGGTATTGATGAAGAGTAATGGTGCACCTTAAATGACAAGATACTGCTGATAAAATTCAGTGGTGAAGAGGTAAAAGTACGTGCTTCAGTTAGTACAGTTCTATATCTGTATTAATGGATTGTGCTGAGGCAAGGACTTGGAACACACAAACTGTAAAAAATTTTAGATATAATGATGTTGTGCTTCTCCATGCCAGAGTCTAGTTGTCTTTCTAAAGAAGCATTGATGGTGTTCCTTAACTTCTGCTTGGCCGAGGTCTGTTCTGTGTGTACCTGTGTATCTATAAAATTTTGCAAGGGATTATTAGAGTTTGACATAGTTGGTTTTCCTGTAGAAGTATCAAGATCGAGTCACACCCTTGTGTTCTTTGAAAAACTGTTCTGGACAAGGGCATCCTGAGATGTGGACTACAAGCTCTCAACCTACTCAAAAGCCTCAGTAGGATGTCTGAGATTAGTTAAATAGGTGTTAGTAACTTCTGTCAAATACTTGTGTAAATCTAAGTGGACTTTTGTAGTCCTTGTATATTCTTGGACCATGCCATGTTACTCAGTGGGACTGTTGTATTAATTTAAGTTTGGGTCCTAAAGATGTGAGATGAAATGGCCGTGGGCCACTTGTTAACAGAATGTGGGCTCTCAGAACTGTGAAGTTGAGAGGGAAAAGTTAATGCTGACACTTAACCCTAATGTGGGGTTTCTGTGGGTACCTCTTTTCTCTCCTGTCTTATAAGCAACTGCTTGCTCTCCTGATGTAACTCGACTGTTCTTTTCTTGCAGCTCAGTGTGCCATCATAATGTTTGATGTAACATCAAGAGTTACTTACAAGAATGTACCCAACTGGCACAGAGATCTGGTACGAGTATGTGAAAACATCCCTATAGTGTTGTGTGGCAACAAAGTGGATATTAAGGACAGAAAAGTCAAGGCAAAATCCATTGTCTTCCACAGGAAGAAGAATCTCCAGGTATGTTGGCATGAGTTTGTAGGTATCATTTGTTGGGTCTGTTGACTGTGGTTGGGTTCTATGTAGTAATCGAGTGTTCTGCCTTTGTCACTACAGGCTATAATATTCCAATTTTACATCCTGTTGGCCGCTTGAACCCAACTTCAGGGAAGAGGGAGGTGATGATGTTAAAGATCATCATCACTGGTCTTGAGCAGAAGCTATGATAAGCTCTTAAAGAGCTTGTGTGCATTTGGCTTTTGCTGTTCAAAATCTCATCAGATCACACAGAAGTGAGACTAAAGTAGATCAAGTGGTAGGAAAAAGATAGATGCACTATTATGTCCTGAAAGTTCCATCTTTGATCAGATTGGATACGTTTTCAATTGGCAATTTCTGCCTATTTGCCTGAAACTGTACATTTTTAGACACTTGTATTATAACTGTTTCTGAGAGTGTGAACAGAAGTCATGCAGTCAAAAAATATTAATGTAGAAGTTGAGCTGATAGTGTGCATGTTAATCTTGGTATGCCCTAAATATCAGTTGGATATCTTTTTTAATAATGTATAATATGTACTTTTTTGCAGTATTATGACATTTCAGCTAAGAGTAACTACAACTTTGAGAAGCCTTTCCTCTGGCTTGCCAGAAAGCTAATTGGAGATCCTAACTTGGAGTTTGTTGCCATGCCTGCTCTTGCACCACCTGAAGTTGTTATGGACCCAGCACTGGCAGCACAGTATGAGCAAGACTTACAGGTAAGTGAGAAAGGGCAGAGAGGTCAAATCATGGCCTGGTAACTGGTGTTTGGACTCCTGGGGCAAATAACTGAAGAACAGTTCTTAAGTATATCTTCTTACGTAACTTCATATGATTCTGTTATTCTTTGTTCCAGATTGCTCAAACCACTGCACTGCCAGATGAAGATGATGACCTGTGAAGGGATGAAGCTGGAGCCCAGCGTCAGAAGTCTAGTTTTATAGGCAACTGTCCTGTGATGTCAGTGGTGCAGCGTGTTTGCCACTTTATTATCTAGCTGAGCAGAACATGTGCTTAATCTTTGGGATGCTGAAAGAGATGAATGGGCTTCGGAGTGAATGTGGCAGTTTAAAAAAAAAAAAAAACACAAAACAAAATGAAAAAAAAACCAAAACAAAAAACTTCATATTTTGGACCTGCATATTTAGCTGTTTTTTGGACTGCAATTACTTCCCCTTTTGAGTTTCAAATATAAGACTGCTGCAGTCACATCAGAATGTTAAGTGGTAAATCTTGTTTCTGTCATTCCCATTCTCTTTTGTTTAGATAATAAAGTTGTATTTCAAGTATCTCTAAGCAAGCGACCTTTTCATGCATTGTTAGGAAAACTCTTCAGAGTGTCTTCTGTTCTTCAGTTGAGGCCAATACTTGGTTGCTGCATTTCTCATTCTCTCCCTCTTGCTTCTCATGTTATGCTTCTCTTGCTGAATCAGAGCTAACAGTTAACCTTCCCTTGATTTCCTGAAGCATGTAATTAAAGCACCTGAGGAAAGCTGAACTAACTGCCAGGTAAAACTAAAGCAGTGAACACTCGATGGGTAAGTGTGATTGGATCAATGTTCCCATGCAAATGGGGATGCTTGTGGTCTGCAGCGTGTCTTGAGAAAGAAGTGTGTAGTTCAGCTTGCTACCATTAGATACAGTCTCTCACCTCTCTTAACTTCTGGTAAGTTCTACAACATGCCTTCACAGAGCTCTGGGTTTTTTAATAGCCAGAAACAAATGGCATCTAGGTCTGGGTGACTTAAAAGCTGTACCTTTGCATGGAACATCATTTAGTAGAGCTATAGCTAATTAAACTCTCTAAGCATCTTAAAATTTACTAACTAGAAAACAGCTGTAGTTGAGGTAAAAAGCTCTTGGCTACAAAACAGCATATTAACTAAAACCACACTTATATAAATATCTAGACTACTGTAACTGCACCAAGTTCTTAATTTGAAACTCTAGCTTATTACAGCACAAATGGTGGAAAATGTCAACTTTTAACACTACCTTGTAGAGAATAATCTTGGTCAATATTAGTACTGCTAGTAAACAAAACTATAAGTTTAAGGTACCATTTTTTCCAGTAGTGTTTGAGTACATGAAGCCTTGAACTCTTCAGTTTTGTATTTTTGGTTTCTTAATAAAGTGGAGCATTTCATTTATTCCTTTTAACTTGCATGTTTGTGTACATAACTCCTACTTGAATATTTAACTATTCTGATACACGGCAGCAAAAAGTGTGGATTATTATGTGATACTGTTGTAAAAGGAACCATGTTTAAGTTGGTGCAAGTTGGAGTTCTGTGGTGGTGGTTTTTTTTTTTAGCTAGTCAATGAGAAACTGAGTTGCAGTATTTAGGACCTGAAACTCCTTAATGAAAATAAGGAATGTCATAGACTTCATTTGTAAAAAGGCAAGCTCCCCTCCTACTTAACGTTCCATTGAATCTTCTTGCTGTGTCATCTTGCTTTTAACTTCATATTGTAGGTTCTTGCCTGTAGTGTTTACTAATTTACCTGTGCCTATCTTGGCTAATGCTGCCAGCTTGAGTTCTGCTGCTGCTTTACTAGGCGTGGTAGCTGCTTTTTGTTCAAGCTGTCTTGTTTCTGAAAATGCAATGCTTAAACCAATTTGATTTAGAAAACTTCAGTAGCTCTGCAGTGTTGATATGCCTTAAACATCAGCAGCGCTGGAGTTGTATTGTTTTCATGGTGTGTATGGTGGTGTCTTTACAACTTGCCTGCTACACACGTGCACTAGCCTTAGTGTGAATTCCTACAAAACAGTTGAAAAGGTTTATAAGAAGTGAAACAGTGGTTTAAAGATTAGTATAACTGCGATGAGCTTTGCTTTATAATTGTGTTACTTTAAAGTCCACAAAAACTCGTCTCTGAATAGGCAGTAATACTGGTCCTGCTGTAAAGTAATCTCTTCAAATGTTTTGGGAGTGGAATTGAGTCCACTTGTTGCAGCATTGTACTTGGTTTGTCACATCTAGTCCCTGTTAATGGTTTATTATAATGCAGGTAGTCTTAATATGCATGTGCAGATTCCTCAGTTGGCATTTCTTAACTATCGCCCTTCCAAGACATTTTTGACTAGTTGGGTTCAGGCAAAATAAAATTTTACCTATTTAGTCAAGTAATTAGGAAAACTAAACTTGCATTCTGAGAACCTCTGTACTAAATTGTCACATCGGTCTGGATTAGAGCTCTGCTGGGACTGAATTGATGAGACTGGAATCCTTCGCTGCAATACCAACTTTGTTTTAATTGCTGTATGGTTAGATTGGATTCATGGTAGGAACTCCTGTGGTCCTTACACACTGGTGAATTTTCCCACGCTAAGATGTCTGGTTTCAGATGGGGTTTTAGTAACTTGTCATCACAGACCATGCTCAACTTTAATTTTCAAAAACAGGACAAGGTGCAGGCCTGTTCTAGTTCTGTGATAAAGCTGTGAGGTTTTCAGCATCCAAGCCTGCAAGGTTGTATTGGGGTAGTCTGAGAACGAGTGCACGTGCAAAATGGGGAAGGCAAATGCATCAGTTCAAGAAACTGGCAGAGGAAATATTTTGCTATTTCTTGCTGAACCTTTAAATGGAGGAGTGCTAAAGGCCTCCTTAGGAAGCTAGGGTTGCCCTTGGATCTCTTGGGATTTCAACACTGTTTTTTAGAAATGTTGGAGAACACTTCTCTGCAACAACTGGAAATCTGTATGCCAAGAAGGTTGAAGTCTGCCCCTCTTACGCCTGCAAGCTACAGTACAACAAAACTTTGTCTTTTTTCTTTTAGAAATGGTTCTGTTGTCTTGCTAATACAGTCTTAGTCTAAACTAGTGGAGAAAACTGCTGACACAAATTGTTCTTCTGAAAAGCTAAATCTTTTGTTGCTTCAATCAGTTTATTTTCACATGAGTGTGTTAATTTAGGCTGGTTTTTGTGTGTATGTGTTGGGTTTTGCTCCGAGTGGAAAAACTTACCTTCAAGAAGAATCTTTTTCCTAGCACAAGCTGCTACATGAACATCCCATGAAAGAGTTCTTGCATCTGTCCTTGTGATCATCTCTGCAAGTGGCCAAAATGGGGGAAGCATTTTAAGCTGGGGACTCGAGTTGGGAGAATATGAATGACGGTGCTGTCTGAGGCCAGGAGCTTTTTCAGACAACACCCAGGTGACAACACTGGAAACAACTGCAGTGACTTTTAGCCTTCCTTGCCCTCAGGCTTGTCTGTAACTTGTCCTTGCGGTGCAAGACACTGCCTTTCCAGCGGAGGGCTGCTGCCTGGCAACATGAAGTTAAACTTAGAATGTTATGCTTGAATATGATAACCTGTTTAACAGACTTAGTGGGACTTGCTGATGAGCCAAACCATAGCCTCTTCGTATGGCTGGTTACTGAGTAATTGTAGGAATGTTGAAACATAAGGCATGTTATTTATACTAAGGTACTGAGCCTGAATCTTCTTGGGTTACCAGTTTGAGTGCAAGGCAAATACTTCCAATTGCGTTGTGCAGGTAGTTCTCTTCTGGTTCAAAGTGAACAGCGTGAATGACACTTGCCCAAAATTCTAGTGTTCTGTAAACTGCATCACTGAAATGGGCCAGTGTTCATATTGGGGTGATAGTTAAGTGTAGGAATAGGTTTGATTTTTATTTTATTTTGGGTAGTTGTAGCCGATACCAGTCTTGCTGTGATTAAAAAAAAAAATCAGATTCCCATGTTGCTGCTGTTTGCTTGGGGGGGGGATTGAGGATAAGAGGACAAATTTCCCCAAATAATGTTATAAGCAGAATTTCATGTTTTATACAACATTAGCAAAAGCTCTAATGTTTGTTCAACTATCTCTGAAATCGTGGCTTTAATGTGTTTAATGCAAGCATTCAAAGTTGAATTTCATCAATATGGTTCCAGGTTCTAGGAGGCAATGAGCTTGGTTTACTCTCAGTTGCCTATTTCCATGTTGACATTTCATGAATAAGGACTGAACAGGGCCGCTAAAACAAAAATTCTTAAGTGTGAAGCAGACAGTCATAAACAGGAAGCTGATGAAGTGGTTGTGATTGATAACATCTAAAAGAAAACATTAACCAGCGTCCTTCCTGTTAGGATTGTCCCAAGTGGCAAAATTGGTGATCGTACTTGGCAGCGCCGGAGTCTTTCTTGATGCAGCTATTTTATAAGTCTGTGGGAAGTGTTAAGCTGAAGATAGCAAATGGAGTGGCTAATGGAAATGGTTCTTGTTTGCTTTGAGGGGCTTCTTCAGTAAGAGTTAGCTTGCGCACTGATTTCCCCCTTGTGGTGCTAATTCCTGTTGCTCCTACTTGATACACTTTTTCACTACACAAGCTACCACTGGTTTTGCTGATGATTTTTTCACACTTGGTGACTTTGAAAATAGTGCTGGAGGGAAGCAATGTGTGTTTTGCTTATATTGAGCATATAAAATGAAGTTAACTTTCCTGTCAGGCATTTTTGATGGATTATATCATAAAAAGATTTTGTTAAAATTTTTAGGTCTCAGATTGGGTTTGCAGGGCAAGTATTTAGGGAAAGGGCTGAAGCCAAAGCCTGCGTTTCTTGGCATTATTTATTGCCTTTTGATCCTGGATCTAGTATTTTTTATCTCTTGTTTGGGTCTGGATGGTTTTAGCTAAATTGATGTCCAGCTATAAAACTTCTTTCAAATAATAGCAGATGAGTCCAGCAATTCTTAAAATGATGTTTAAAAGAGCTGTTTGAGACAAACCAGTCAAGTGCAGAAGCTGTTGCTGGGTACATAAGGTTCAGTCGCTTTTAGCTCAGTAGCTGAACAAGCGTGGTATCGCTTAAAAAGAAAAAAAAAAATCTTTGTTACGGGGAGCGAGCGGTTACTGCATAACTCTTTTTCTCTCTCTAGCAAAGAGAGTGTGCAGCACCCGGGACGAGGGGGTGGTGCCAGGCCGGAGGCTCCCCTGCGGTGGGAGGCGAGCGGGGAGCTACTAACAGTAGCAACTGGCTGTAATGCCTGTGCAATAGCAGATGCTAGTTGGTAAAAATTTAAAACGGAACAGATAAGTGCTCTGTTTTCTACAGATTTGATGCAAAATAGGGTAAATATAATTGGACCTTTAACAGGG